GAACATGTTCCAGACACGAGTCGTCCTTTGAGTAAATGATCTCAGATGAAGTGATATTCTTGAGAAGGTCAGAGTGTAGTTGCTGTTTGCTGCCCGTCTTGTTGTGCAGAAGCTCGACTCTTGCTGTTCTCAGAATGGAGCCAGGTGTTGTACTTTGACAATGTTGCTCTTATACGTAACAGTAAAGGCCACCCACATTCCTCCTGTGTTGAAGGCTCTATTGAAATGACAGATCTGTCCAGGCTGGGTCCAGGCGAGAGTTGAGTCGTGTTATTCTGTCAAAAAAATCACAGACGAGACCGGGGTTAGGCAATCCAAGAAAGTGGGGCATACTCAGTGTGTGAACCTACTTGTGCCTTGTACAGAATATTCCAACCTTAGCTGCCAAGCAGGTGCGCGATACCTCTAAATGCTTTAAGCTTTCTGGCCACTTTGTTTGCAAGATTTCCAACATGGTTCTTCATAGTCAGTTTGGAATCAAATTTCACTCCAAGGATATCAACTTCGTCTCCAGGTACCAACACTCTCCCATTCATTCTTAGCATTTCTCTTCCCATTACACCCCAAGTATATCAGCTTCATCCTTGAGTACAAATATTCTCCCATTCATTCTTACCACTGCTCCAGCATTACCATCATGGTGCCTAGCAACCATCAACATTTGTGTTTTCTCATAACCCAATGTGACCTGCCATCGTTTTCCCAAGCTGATATAACTGTAAGCTGGTAACTGATATAACTTACAGCAGCTGGGTTTTCCTCTCATGCATAAGTAAATACTCAAGTACAGTCGTCTGTACGTGCGTGGATTCTGGGATGAGTTGAAGATCACTGAAGTAGACATTCCATAACAATGGCCTAAGTACATTTCTGAGTTGGTTTAGAAAGACACGTAAGCAAACACTATGACGTATTTATTAGAAAGCATAGGCATATATGATACTTAAGCAGCACCAACCCAACAACACAGGAGTCACATGATTTCATCATCTACCCGTCCTCATCATAGGCAGAGGTTGTTTTGATAAGGACCTGCCTAGCATGGGCCAGTAGGCCTTCTACAGTGTTACTCCATTCTTATGTTCTTATGACGTCACACCTCACTCTCCGCCTATATATATAATGCCTTTCTACCTCTGTATGTTAGAAGTGATCAAGGTCCCAGGACAGAAACGTTTTCTAATAAATATGTCATAGTGTTTGCTTACGTGTCTTTCTAAACCAACTTGTCGGTATTTATTACCAAGGTTTATACCACATTTCTAAGTAGAACACTTGCACCAATAGTGTGTCTTGTTTACTCTGTTCCATTCAGAACTGCTCTTAGAGCTTTACCTTGAAGGTAATCACTAAGGTGGCACAGTGCAGAGTCAGCGACCCCTAGTGTTTGCGGTTTTGCCAAGTCTCTTGTACGATATTCGGTCCATCACACCACCAATGTCCAGTATTATTACTCAGCTGATCTTGGATATATCCAGTGACTGGTGCCACCTAGTGGAGAGGTTTAACAGTAGATCAACAGCAGAGTGATCTTTTCTGAAGCTACATTGGCTTTCTTTGTCTCTGTCTGTCTGTCTATCTGTCTGTCTGTCTGTCTCTGTCTCTGTCTCTGTCTCTGTCTGTCTGTCTGTCTGTCTCTGTCTCTGTCTCTCTCTCTCTCTCTCTCTCTCTCTCTCTCTCTCTCTCTCTCTCTCTCTCTCTCTCTCTCTCTCTCTCTCTCTCTCTCTCTCTGTCTTTCTTCCACAGTCAGCAGGATTCGAAAGCACGTTTGGAAGTTGTTAACTAGTGTGGCATAGCCCCCTACGTGAGGCCTTGAACCACTAAGTTACAGATGCCTCAAAACGTTAGGTAGTCATGTTACTTCCTGACGCCGGGCACACCAGCGATCTTCAAACATGGAGGAGGACAGTGAAACAAGCGGAGACCATGTTTGAAGCTTAGTGGTGTGTCCGGCGCTAGGAAGAAACATGGCTTGTTACTCTGCTGCATAACATCTGAGGCATCTATAGCTGAGTGGCTTAAAAACCTGTGCAATTTTCAGCCTCTCAAACTTTGTATTTTGTTCAGTATCATGTAGTATAATTTTTATAAGTACTTTAGTCAGCCTTTTAGTACAGTGGTCAGCTAACATGTCTGAAACATGGTGAGGCGGAGTTTTAAACTAGCATGATTCGTCTTGTTTGTGATATTCAATAATATGAGAAACTTCCCTTTATACTGGTAAGATTAAGGGAGATGTTATCAGTATTTGTTGGCATCGGTGGTCACAATGAGAGTCGTGAATAACGTGTTTTTCGATACGAAACTTTGCAAAATATTTAACTACCAGTCTTCTGGTATCAGTCCTTGCACAATCCAGTGTATCTAGGCTGATTTCTCATTTGCATTTTCTTTAATTTCAAATTTGTAGTAACAAACATCCATACGCCATTAGTAGTAGAAACACGGTTCTCTCCAGCCTAATCCATCCTCGTCATATTTCTACTTTTAGACAGAGTGACCTTAAAGACAAAAATACTGGGTCGAGAGGCACTTCATAAACCGGCCTCCAACATACTTCCCTCACACCTTCAGCCATTCCATACTCACCTAATAAATATTGTAACTGATTCTTATATTTACATAAAAACTATTCTGTGGTAAGTATATCTAGAAAGCAATAACTACGTTGTACAACATCCTATGCGTCACTCTGCCATCACTCTAGTGTCCTTGTAACTCATTTATTAACTTAGTTCAGTTTTCCTAGCCTCTAAATGTGTTACTGTGACACTAGCAGCTGAGTCACGTGCATCGTAAACCGTCACACAACAGTCAAGTTACCTTCGTGAAGCCTGCCACCCTGACAACACCACCCTGACAACACCACCCTGACAACACCACCCTGACAACATGTTGGGAAACTCATCATTCTGACAACAACACCCTGGCAATATGTTGGGAAACTCATCCTGACAACAGCACCCTGGCAACATGTTGGGAAACTCATCATCCTGACAACAACACCCTGGCAACATGTTGGGAAACTCATCATCCTGACAACACCACCCTGGCAACATGTTGGGAAACTCATCACCCTGACAACACCACCCTGACAACATGTTGGGAAACTCATCATCCTGACAACACCACCCTGGCAACATGTTGGGAAACTCATCATCCTGACAACACCACCCTGGCAACATGTTGGGAAACTCATCATCCTGACAACACCACCCTGGCAACATGTTGGGAAACTCATCATCCTGACAACAGCACCCTGGCAACATGTTGGGAAACTCATCATCCTGACAACAACACCCTGGCAACATGTTGGGAAACTCATCATCCTGACAACAACACCCTGGCAACATGTTGGGAAACTCATCATCCTGACAACACCACCCTGGCAACATGTTGGGAAACTCATCATCCTGACAACAGCACCCTGGCAACATGTTGGGAAACTCATCATCCTGACAACACCACCCTGGCAACATGTTGGGAAACTCATCATCCTGACAACAACACCCTGGCAACATGTTGGGAAACTCATCATCCTGACAACAACACCCTGGCAACATGTTGGGAAACTCATCATCCTGACAACACCACCCTGGCAACATGTTGGGAAACTCATCATCCTGACAACAGCACCCTGGCAACATGTTGGGAAACTCATCATCCTGACAACACCACCCTGGCAACATGTTGGGAAACTCATCATCCTGACAACACCACCCTGGCAACATGTTGGGAAACTCATCATCCTGACAACAACACCCTGGCAACATGTTGGGAAACTCATCATCCTGACAACAACACCCTGGCAACATGTTGGGAAACTCATCATCCTGACAACACCACCCTGGCAACATGTTGGGAAACTCATCATCCTGACAACAACACCCTGGCAACATGTTGGGAAACTCATCATCCTGACAACAACACCCTGGCAACATGTTGGGAAACTCATCATCCTGACAACAACACCCTGGCAACATATATCAGTATATGTTCAACAATACATCTATAACAATATTTCAGTATCACACTTCTGACTGCACTAGGAGCAGTCCGTCCAGGCATGAACTGTAATCTTGTGCATGTTACGATGACGAAGGCATTTCATTTCTGATCCAAACTCACGGATATAATCTCTGAAATAAACATGGCAGTGTTGTACCACACTGAAACAACAAGGCAGTACGGTATTTAAAGGACCGGGAAATAACAGTGCAGTATCTGAGACAAGACATGATAGTGTTATTGTTCCAGATTCTTATACTAACTATTAACCAGAAGAAAGTGACACCAATAGACTCGTCTGTCGACTGCGACAAGATTTTAAAGCTAAAAACTTTTTCATTTATTTGTAACAATAAATACAGGATTTAATGTAAAGGTAATGAAAAATGTTCGTTTACTAGTGACTAGAAGAATTTACACATACAGAAGAGACCCCTTATCTCAGAACAAACTATTTTCAACCCTTAATATAACACAATTTTTAATCCAACATACATATTAACATTACCTAACCATCAGACTTAGTTTTCAGTGGAATCTATTACACAGGCACTGTGCCAAGACGTACTGTTTAAGTCTCACATATCACTAGTTTTCTAAGTACATAAGAACATAAGAACGAAGGAACACTGCAGCAGGCCTACTGGCCTATGCGAGGCAGGTCCAAGTCTCCTACCGGCTTAAGCCAATGCACCCAACCTAGTCAGGTCAGGTCAGGTCAGGTGACCTTAACTGAGATATCTAAACAATGACAACTCAGTGTCCGAACTAACATGTAAGAACTTACAAAAATATCAAAGAATGTACATACTAATTAAATACTTTATGATTCACTATCTATATTGACATGTAAGTAATGTAAAGTAATGGAACTACGCTTGGAGTACTGAAACTATGACCTGCAATCATCTTAAATTGACTCTGACCGTACACACAAAATCTTCGACAAGAGGAAAAAGTCAAGACCAGGTGGGCAAGGAATATCATCCGGCATGTATCAAACAGATTGTGTTGGAACGCAGGTAGCCCACTAAAACAGACTGGGTTGGAACGCAGGTAGCCCACTAAAACAGACTGGGTTGGAACGCAGGTAGCCCACTAAAACAACTGGGTTGGAACGCAGGTAGCCCACTAACACAGATTGTGTTGGAACGCAGGTAGCCCACTAAAACAGATTGGGTTGGAACGCAGGTAGCCCACTAAAACAGACTGGTTGAATGCAGGTAGCCATTAAAACAGACTGGGTTGGAACGCAGGTAGCCCATTAAAACAGACTGGGTTGGAACGCAGGTAGCCCACTAAAACAGACTGGGTTGGAACGCAGGTAGCCCACTAAAACAGATTGTGTTGGAACGCAGGTAGCCCACTAAAACAGATTGTGTTGGAACGCAGGTAGCCCACTAAAACAGATTGGGTTGGAACGCAGGTAGCCCACTAAAACAGATTGTGTTGGAACGCAGGTAGCCCACTAAAACAGATTGGGTTGGAACGCAGGTAGCCCACTAAAACAGATTGGGTTGGAACGCAGGTAGCCCACTAAAACAGACTGGGTTGGTGCACAGGTAGCCCACTAAAACAGATCGTGTTGGAACGCAGGTAGCCCACTAAAACAGACTGGGTTGGTGTGCAGGTAGCCCACTAAAACAGATTGGGTTGGAACGCAGGTAGCCCACTAAAACAGATTGGGTTAGAACGCAGGTAGCCCACTAAAACAGTCTGGGTTGGAACGCAGGTAGCCCAGTAAAACAGACTGGGTTGGAACGCAGGTAGCCCACTAAAACAGATTGTATTGGAACGCATATAACCCACTAAAACAGATTGTGTTGGAACGCAGGTAGCCCACTAAAACAGATTGTGTTGGAACGCAGGTAGCCCACTAAAACAGATTGTGTTGGAACGCAGGTAGCCCACTAAAACAGATTGTGTTGGAACGCAGGTAGCCCACTAAAACAGATTGTGTTGGAACGCAGGTAGCCCACTAAAACAGATTGTGTTGGAACGCAGGTAGCCCACTAAAACAGATTGGGTTGGAATGCAGGTAGTCCACTAAAACAGATTGGGTTGGAACGCAGGTAGCCCACTAAAACAGACTGGGTTGGTGCACAGGTAGCCCACTAAAACAGATCGTGTTGGAACGCAGGTAGCCCACTAAAACAGACTGGGTTGGTGCGCAGGTAGCCCACTAAAACAGACTGGGTTGGTGCGCAGGTAGCCCACTAAAACAGACTGGGTTGGTGCGCAGGTAGCCCACTAAAACAGATTGGGTTGGAACGCAGGTAGCCCACTAAAACAGATTGGGTTGGAACGCAGGTAGCCCACTAAAACAGACTGGGTTGGTCCACAGGTAGCCCACTAAAACAGATCGTGTTGGAACGCAGGTAGCCCACTAAAACAGACTGGGTTGGTGCGCAGGTAGCCCACTAAAACAGACTGGGTTGGTGCGCAGGTAGCCCACTAAAACAGACTGGGTTGGTGCGCAGGTAGCCCACTAAAACAGATTGGGTTGGAACGCAGGTAGCCCACTAAAACAGATTGGGTTGGAACGCAGGTAGCCCACTAAAACAGACTGGGTTGGTGCACAGGTAGCCCACTAAAACAGATCGTGTTGGAACGCAGATAGCCCACTAAAACAGACTGGGTTGGTGCGCAGGTAGCCGCCTTGTATAGGTTCCCATGTCTGATGCAGCCTGGAATCTGTGTCCAACTGCCCCGACATATGCAAAGCCTAAAGTTAACCCGGGGAACAGTCAACATACCTGGAACTAGCATACCTGGAACTAAGTCTTACCAGTATATTTGGAGTCGACTGTCAAGCTGACAAACAAATGTCAAAGTATCGGATGTGATGGTTTGTATGGGAATCAGCCAGTACTCACCTAATGTACTCACCGATGTGCGGATGCAGGGGTCGATTCACAGTTCCTGGCCCCGCCTCTTCGCTGGTATGTCCACTCTCTCCCGGCTCCCAGTTAGTGTGTTGGTGCTGAACTCAGCATTTCTGGAAGCAGATATCGCTTTGTTAACTGCATATAGCAGTATTTATATTACACCCATATTACAGTAGAATCTTCAGTCAATACTACATTGTGATATTATTTGTAATTAAGATGATAAGACGGTAATGCTGAAACAAAATTATTTATGATCAAGCAGACAAAACTATAATATTAATCTTCCTAACACGACAAAACATTATTTATATGGATACATACGACGCCTGTGAGTAATATCAAAATTACCAGCCTCAGCCTCATCGAGTACTTTTATGTACCTGTGATACAAGATACTGATGTTCTTAACAATTATAGCAGTGACTTAGAGATTATAGTGATGCTTCACACTAGATGAAATGTGACTGTACTAGACTGACACAGAGTTGATAATGTGTAGGTCCAGACTGACACGGACATGTCAGTACAGTTCCAGACTGATACGGACATGTCAGTACAGTTCCAGACTGATACGGACATGCCAGTACAGTTCCAGACTGAGACAGACATGACAGTGCAGTTCTAGACTGAGACAGGCAGAACAGTACAATTCTAGGTTGATATTAATACAACAAGCAAACAATCTGTAGTGGAAGTAAAGAGGGACAGATAAAGTAAGACATATAATTACAAAAATGTAGTAGGAGAAAAACCTAGTATAACTGGCGACAATGATCAGAGCATGTTACAGGTAATGATAAGTTAAATAAATTACCCTCACAGATAATACAAACGATATTGCCAGATCAGTGCTTTTGGGACAAAGATAATGGACTTGGACTGATGTAGAATTACGAGAGTGACCTTCTCACAGATATAAAACGTACCTCACGACAGAGTTTCTTAAAGACAAAATAATGTTACTTGATGCAAAAATTACGAGAGGTGATTGGGGATAAACTGTAAAAAACCAATGACTGAATGTTTCAAAATATGTAAATAAAGTTATATAGCAAAAATTACGAGAGTTTATTGACAATAATTATAAAAACCTTTGAATTATTCAAATATTTTATAAAAGTCTTAATATAGTTATTTTTAAGTTTAATTTGGAATTAAAATTATACAAATTTTAGTTCTTCAAAATGATGGAAGAGCAAGGTCTTGATCTAGTTATTTAAAAGACTGTGGTTATACATTATATAAGGAAAAAATTATTACTAATCTTAGTTCTAAAATAGGGTGGACTGAAGTCCGCTGTCTTGCTATAAAAATATCTATGGTTTCATTTTCTAAGTCCCATAGATGAATCATTTTGAATCTACATTACTAACATTTAACATTAACCTTAAATATCAGAACATGCTAATGTCGCTTTTTCTATAAAAATTTTATCTATGTTCTTTTCTAGCCTCAGTAGTCTGTCTTGTGAATCTAACCATTACTAACATTACTAACATTAATCTTAGTATCAGCAACATTTGCTGATGCTCGACTTTTTCAATATATAATCAAATTCTTTAACTCGTGATCTGATCTCGGCATTTTCCTCACTTAACCTCAGCCGTCTCCTAATTTTTCAGGTGATCTGCATTGTGCCTTATTAACCAATTCTCCCTCAGTCATGACATGATAACAGTCTAGTTGCTAGTTATTCTAACTAGGTATTGTGGTTGTTATTCTTCGATGTGATGAGCATATCAACACAACTCATAACAATATAATGAAATCTGAAAACTGACAAGACAGAGGCAGCAATAATTTAGTAGTAAAGTTTTAGATATGTTGAAGAAACATCAGAAAAACTTAGGCTAGGAAAATATATGAATAAAAATAACATGATTCACGAAATCGTAATGACACGACTGCAAACAAACCATACCACGGACGGGGATAGAACCCGCGGTCAGAGAGTCTCAGAACTCCAGACCGTCGCGTTAGCCACTGGGACTTGAGCTAGAGTTCGTCACGGCCACGCTAGCTGGAGATTCGTCTGTAAAAACTTGCATTTGTGGTCACAGTGGTGCCTATGTTAACCTTCCTATGGTGTAGAAATATACCTAGTTGGACGAATCTTATTGTGGCTAGCTGGTCCAGTGGCTAACGCGACGGTCTGGAGTTTTGAGACAATCTGATCGCGGGTTCTATCCCCGTCCGTGGTATGGTTTGAATAAAAATATTTACTAGTAAATAATATTTCCTGTCAAGGCCAGTAATGCAACCAATATTTAAACATATTTCTCATTTATTTAAGTTATCGAAATACAGGAAAAACATTCATTTTTGGGAAACTTGATAAGTTTAAAAAATAAAATCTTTGCTACACTTTTTCATCTTTTTCAAGGAATAACATTGTTATAATTAACAAAACTGTGTAACAAACTAATAGTGAATATAACTTCTGTAACCTAACTAACTTTCGGAACTGAATATAACTTATTTTATATCGATGGACGTCACCAGGAAGCAGACATCTCTATAGGACCCATCAGTCTAACTGCCACTCGTGCTGAGGCGGCAGATTTTGCTTGGCCAATGTGGTATGATGGTTCTGGGATATTAGCAGGTCTGGGAACACCAGAAATTGACACATGGGGATTCCTGCTTCCCTTAACTCCAGTGGTATGGGTGGCACTGCTTGTGGCACTATTGGCAGCGTCACTGGTAAAGACTCGACCATCATCAAACATCTCACTTAAGACTTTCCCGTTGGACACCTGGCTATCCAACACCTTTGAATTTATCCGCGTTTTATTGCAACAAGGTTGGTTGATATATTATTGCAACAAGGTTGGTTGATATATTATTGCAACAAGGTTGGTTGATATATTATTACTACAAAACTGGTTGACATGACTCAGGAAATCGTAATGACACGATTGCAAACAAGCCAGTTTTGAGTTTTGAGACTCTCTGACCTCGGGTTCAAACCTCACCCGTGGTATGGTCTGGCTGACATATTATTACAAGCGTAGGTGATATATTAATACAACAACCTAGGTTGATATTAATACAACAAGCTAGGTTGCCATATTAATACAACAAGCTAGGTTGCCATATTAATACAACAAGGAAGGTTGCCATATTAATACAACAAGGGGTAGGTTGCCATACTAATACAACAAGGATGGATGCCATATTAATACAACAAGGTAGGTTGCCATAGTAATACAACAAGGTAGGTTGCCACATTAATACAAGGATGGTTGTCATAATACAGCAAACATGGTTGCCATGCTACTACAACAAGGATGGTTGCCATATTAATACAACAAGGATGGTTGCTATATTAATGCAAGGTAGGTTGACATATTAATACAACAAGGCAGGTTGCCATATTAATACAACAAGGTAGGTTACCATAGTAATACAGCAAGGTAGGTTGCCATATTAATACAAGGATGGTTGCCATATTAATACAACAAGGTAGGTTGCCATATTAATACAAGGATGGTAGGTTGCCATATTAATACAACAAGGATGATTGCCATATTAATACAACAAAGATGGTTGCCATAGTAATACAACAAGGTAGGTTGCCATAGTAATACAACAAGTTAGGTTGCCATAGTAATAGAGCAAACTAGGTTGCTATATTAATACAACAAGGTAGGTTGCCATAGTAATACAACAAGGTAGGTTGCCATATTAATACAAGGATGGTTGTCATAATACAGCAAACATGGTTGCCATGTTACTACAACAAGGATGGTTGCCATATTAATACAACAAGGATGGTTCCTATATTAATACAAGGTAGGTTGACATATTAATACAACAAGGCAGGTTGCCATATTAATACAACAAGGCAGGTTGCCATATTAATACAACAAGGTAGGTTGCCATAGTAATACCGCAAGGTAGGTTGCCATATTAATACAAGGATGGTTGCCATATTAATACAACAAGGTAAGTTGCCATATTAATACAACAAGGTAGGTTGCCATATTAATACAACAAGGATGATTGCCATATTAATACAACAAGGATGGTTGCCATAGTAATACAACAAGGTAGGTTGCCATAGTAATACAACAAGTTAGGTTGCCATAGTAATAGAGCAAACTAGGTTGCCATAGTAATACAACAAGGTAGGTTGCCATAGTAATATAACAAGGTAGGTTGCCATAGTAATACAACAAGGTAGGTTGCCTTTAGTAATACAACGGGTTTAGGTTGCCACAGTAATAAAAACAAGGTAGGTTGCCATAGTAATTCAACAAGGTAGGTTGCCATAGTAATACAGCAAGGTAGGTTGCCATAGTAATAGAACAATGTAGGTTGCCATAGCAATAGAACAAGGTAGGTTGCCATAGTAATAGAACAAGGTAGGTTGCCATAGTAATAGAAAAAGGTAGGTTGCCATAGTAATAGAACAAGGTAGGTTTCCATAGTAATAGAACAAGGTAGGTTGCCATAGTAATAGAACAAGGTAGGTTGCCATAGTAATAGAACAAGGTAGGTTGCCATAGAAATACAACAAGGTAGGTTGCCATAGTAATACAACAAGGTAGATTGCCATATTAATACAAGGATGGTTGTCATAGTACAGCAAACATGGTTGCCATATTAATACAACAAGGGTGGTTGCCATATTAATACAACAAGGATGGTTGCTATATTAATACAAGGTAGGTTGACATATTAATACAACAAGGCAGGTTGCCATATTAATACAACAAGGTAGGTTGCCATATTAATACAAGGATGATTGCCGTATTAATACAACAAGGATGGTTGCCATATTAATACAACAAGGATGGTTGCCATATTAATACAACAAGGATGGTTGCCATATTAATACAACAAGGTAGGTTGTCATATTAATACAACAAGGTAGGTTGCCATATTAATACAACAAGGATGATTGCCATATTAATACAACAAGGATGGTTGCCATAGTAATACAACAAGGTAGGTTGCCATAGTAATACAACAAGGTAGGTTGCCATAGTAATAGAGCAAAGTAGGTTGCCATAGTAATACAACAAGGTAGGTTGCCATAGTAATATAACAAGGTAGGTTGCCATAGTAATACAACAAGGTAGGTTGCCATAGTAATACAACAAGGTTGGTTGCCATAGTAATACAACAAGGTAGGTTGCCATAGTAATACAAGGTAGGTTGCCATAGTAATAGAACAGGGTAGATTGCCATAGTAATAGAACAGGGTAGGTTGCCATAGTAATAGAACAAGGTAGGTTGCCATAGTAATAGAACAAGGTAGGTTGCCACAGTAATACAACAAGGTAGGTTGCCATAGTAATAGAACAAGGTAGGTTGCCATAGTAATAGAACAAGGTAGGTTGCCATAGTAATAGAACAAGGTAGGTTGCCATAGTAATAGAACAAGGTAGGTTGCCATAGTAATAGAACAAGGTAGGTTGCCATAGTAATAAAAAAAAGGGTAGGTTGCCATAGAAATAGAACAAGGTAGGTTGCCATAGTAATAGCAAGGTAGGTTGCCATAGTAATAGAACAAGGTAGGTTGCCATAGTAATACAATAAGGTAGGTTGCCATAGAAATACAACAAGGTAGGTTGCCATAGTAATACAATAAGGTAAGTTGCCATAGTAATACAACAAGGTAGGTTTTGAAATACTATCTTGAAATACTATCTTGAAATACTATCTTGAAATACTATCTTGAAATACTATCTTGAAATACTATCTTGAAATACTGTCTAATATATTCATCCGTCAGAAAAAAATAATGCTTAACATATTTGTTTTTTAGGAATAATTTTATTTTAGTTCCTCAGTATGAATTTTCTGTGAATGGATGGAAGCAATAATTTAGCGATTATAAATAATAATAAGAAGAAGAATTTAAAAAAAATAGTTTAAAGACAAATTTGAATAATTAATTATAATTACGGTTTGTTATATAAAAACATATTAATTTATGTAATTAATTTTTTTTTCATTCATTTCGATCTATTCCTGACATCTGTATAACTCGAGGTATTTCGGTAATTGTTGTAGATATGAGGGTGGCCTCGTACCGGTGGACGGAACGTTTCTTACTGGTGGTGTGGATGATGGTGACGCTGGTGTTAACACGGAGTTACTCTGGCAACCTCATGGCTCTCCTAGCAGTGAGACACATCTCTCAACCTTACCAGTCACTACAAGATGTTCTCGATGATCCATCAGCAATTATGATGTGGCAAAGAAACTCAATAAATGCAGAGTACCTTCAAGTATGCCAAGCAAAAATTATATATATATATATATTTTTTTTTTTTTTTTTTTTTTTCAACGTACCAGCCGTATCCCACCGAGGTGGGGTGGCCCAAAAAAAAAAAAACTGAAGTTTCTCCTTTTAAATTTAGTAATAAATACAGGAGAAGGGTTACTAGCCTCTTGCTCCCGGCATTTTAGTCGCCTCTTACGACACGCATGGCTTACAGAGGAAGAAATTCTGTTCCACTTCCCATGGACATATATATATTAATATATATATATATATATATATATATATATATATATATATATATATATGTCGTGCCGAATATGTAAAACTGGTCAATTAGCAAGAACTTATTTAAAATTAAGTCCTTTCTAAAATTTTCTTTATAAGTTTAAAGATATATTTTTTTGATTAATGTTAAAGTAAAAATTTTTAATTTTGCACCAAAAGGAACTTAGAAAACTTACCTAACCTTATTATAACAAGAACAATTTATTTTAGCCTAACACAACTAAATATATATTTTAGATTTGTTTACAATAATTTAATACTAAACAAACACAGTGAAATATATTTTTTTTCGTTAGGTTCAGAATGATTTTGGCGAAATTATTGCATGCACAAATTTTCGCTTGTCCTATATGGCAAGATGAGCGTTGCTATTTAAGCCAAGATCGCAAGTTATGCTATTCGCACGACATATATATATATATATATATATATATATATTATATATATATATATATATATATATATATATATATATATATATATATATATATATATATATTATTGTGACCATGAACGAGTGGTATTGATCAGTAACAACACTGCACTAGCCAAGAACTCGAACCCATGCTGCTTTGGCCTGCCTCATGATGGGCGAAAACACATCACTCCCTCATCAACTGAACCATACGGTCCTTAAGAATAGGGCATCCAGCGGAACCGGATGTTGTACTCGCTACCCAAGGACACACGATGGTGTGGATGACTCGAGGCAAATTTCATTCTAGTCCCTGTTTGGTGTACTAGTTCAACGAGCAGTATTTTATATTATTATGACCACGAACGAGTGGTATTGATCAATAGCAACATTGCACTAGCCAAGGACTCGAACCCATGCTGCTTTGGCCTGCCTCATGTTGGGACACCATCGTGTGTCCTTGGGTAGAGAGTACCACATCCAGTCCCGCTGGATGCCCTACTCTTAAAGATCGTATGGTTCATTGGATAAGGGCGTCATGTGTTTTCGCCACCATGAGGCAGGCCAAAGCACCATGGGTTCGAGTCCTTGGCTAGTGAAGTGTTGTTACTGATTATATATATATATATATATATGTGTGTGTGTGTGTATGTATGTCGTGCCGAATATGTAAAACTGGTCAATTAGCAAGAACTCATTTAAAATTAAGCCCTTTCTGAAATTTTCTCTTATACGTTTAAAGATATATTTTTTTCATTAAAGTTAATGTAAAAAATGTTAATTTTGCACCAGAAGAATCTTAGGAAACTTACCTAACCTTATAACAAGAGCAATTTATTTTAGCCTAACCCAACTAAATATATTTTAGATTTGTTTATAGTAATTTAATACTAAACAAACGCATTGAAATATATTTTTTTCGTTAGGTTCAAAATGATTTTGGCGAAATTATTGCATACACAAATTTTCACTTGTCCTATATAGCAAGATGAGCGTTGCTATTTAAGCCAAGATCGCAAGTTCTGCCTATTCGGCACGACATATATATATATATATATATATATATATATATATATATATATATATATATATATATATATATATATATATATATATTATATATATGTGTGTAGTAGTGTAAAATGCGGCTGGGGGGCTCCTTCCGGAAAACGGGGTGCGGCTGGGGGGCTCCTTCCGGAAAACGGGGTGCGGCTGGAGGGCTCCTTTCCGGTCTAGGGTCTCCTCTGAGTGGCTCCCTTTTCACACCTATGTGCTAATGACCTTTTTCACACCTATGTGCTAATGACCCTGACCCGCCCACGACCCCCGCCTACGACCCCCTCCCACGACCCCCGCCACGACCCCCGCCCACGACCCCCGCCCACGACCCCTCACCCGCGCCCACCCCGGACCCCCACCCGCGCCCGTCGCGCCGACCCACCGGCCCCGCCGCGCCTTCCCGCCCCGCCCGCGCCTTCTGCTGCGTCGTCCGGATCGCCCCCGCGCCCCGAATTTTTTTCCGATTATTTTCAAATTTTTTTTGAATTTGATTTTCTTATGATGTCCACTTCCTCGAATCAAGTTTTTTGGATTGCCTCTCCCACTTTCACCCCCATCCCAATTTCATTTTCTTATGATCTCCTTGGATGAAGTTTTTTTTTCTCGATAATACCAAGACTCCATCTCCTCGGATCAAGTTTTTCTAGATATCAAAGACTCCAATTCCTCGGATCAAGTTTTTGAGGTTCCCCCTCCCACTTTCACCCCCATCCCAATTTTTTTTTTCTATAATACAAAGACTCCATCACCTTGGAACAAAGTTTATGGGTACCCCTCCTTCCACCCCCCATCTCCTTGGATCAAGCTTTTCTCGATAATACAAAGACTCCATCTCCATGGATCAAGTTTTCTCGATAATACAAAGACTCCATCTCCTCGGATCAAGTTTTTTGGATTCCCCCCTCTGGGTATAAGCATTCAAAATGGACTCCTCCTATGAGGCATGGTACTTTCTCTTACTACAGGTCTAAACAAGTGTGACGTCAGTATTCCTCTCATCAAGTCAAATGAACTAAGAAGGGTGTTTACTCGGCGGTCAGTGACGTCACGTGATGACCTCACACATACAGGCTGAATCTTGTCGACTTCCCCCTGTGTCAGTGACGTCACACACACACACACACATACAAGCTGAATCTTGTCGACTTCCCCCCCTACACATTTCATATACAACATAGGGAAAACATTTTCACTCTTAACCCAGGTTAATCCAAATAATTTCACATTTTTTTCGTTAATACCCACAATTTCTTTACAAAATACAACACAAGTCTAGACATTTTTCTCGTTTTAACTATTTCATCTCAGGTCACTCCCCACGAAGTAACCTTCTCTCTCTCCTCCTCCCCACCCTCCAGAACCCTCACACTCCAACCAACACCTCACAATTTTCACTCATAACCCCCAATTTTTCTCGTTTTAACCCTTTTAGTTCATTAAAGTTAATAAGGGGACTCAGTACATCAGAAAGTCACCACAACACTTATAACCACTTTTTCCATTAATTCACTAGTCACAATTTTTACATATTACGAAGTTAATACGCACACACACCTCGCTTTGAACACCTTCAAAACACGCTCATAAATCATTTGAATACTCACAAAAATACCTTTGAACATTTCCAAACAACACCGAAACACTTCCAAAATAACATTTTGAATACTCCCAAATAAGATTTGACAGCTCTAATTTATCTACACTTACACATTTTATTAAATTACAACTCATCCCCCAAACTCCTCCCTCAGTCTCCAGACTTCACAACATTATCACAAAAACTAACTCAAACACTTTACTTTGAACATCACCAAAAAACACCATCAATTGCCTTTAAATACTCCAAAAACATCATTCGAACACCCCCAAAATCACCTCTGAATACTCTCAGAACACCTTCATAAGTACTCTTGCACATCATTTGAACACCTTCAAAAACACCTTTGAACATTTCCAAACAACACTGAAACACTTCCAAAACACCATTTGAGTACTCCCAAATACACCACTGAATACTACTAAAACACCACGGAATACACTCAAAACACCACCAAAATCACCCACAACCCGCATCACCTACATCCCACAATTTTTTATCGTTTTATCTAATTTCATCAGAAAGTCACAACAACCCACAACTTATAACCACTTTTCAGCATCTCTAGTTCGACAACAACAACACCCACAACCCACATCACCCACACCCCACAATTTTTTCTCGTTTTAACTAATTTCATCAGAAAAAGGCACAACAACAACCCACTTATAACATCTTTTTCGGTATCTCTAGTTCGACAACAACACCCACAACACCCACAACACCCACAACCCACACACCCACCCTCCACAATTTTTTCTCGTTTTAACCCTTTTAGTTCATTAAAGTTAATAAGGGGACACAGTACATCAGAAAAAGTCACATCAACAACCCACTTATAACATCTTTTTTTCGGTATCTCTAGTTCGACAACAACACCCACAACAACCACATCCCACAACACCCACAACCCACATCACCCACACCCCACAACACACACAACCCACATCACCCACACCCCACAACACACACAACCCACCCACATCACCCACACCCCACAATTTTTTCTCCGTTTTAACTAATTTCATCAGAAAAAGGCACAAACAACAACCCACTTATAACATCTTTTTCGGTATCTCTAGTTCGACAACAACGCCCACAACACCCACAACCCACAACACCCACACCCCACAATTTTTTCTCGTTTTAACCCTTTTAGTTCATTAAAGTTAATAAGGGGACACAGTACATCAGAAAAAGTCACATCAACAACCCACTTATAACATCTTTTTTTCGGTATCTCTAGTTCGACAACAACACCCACAACAACCACATCCCACAACACCCACAACCCACATCACACACACCCCACAACACACACAACCCACCCACATCACCCACACCCCACAATTTTTTTTCTCGTTTTAACCCTTTTAGTTCATTAAAATTAATAAGGGGGCACAGTACATCAGAAAGTCACAACAACAACAACCCACAACTTATAATCACTTTTTCGGTATCTCTAGTTCGACGACAACACCCACAACCCACAACACCCACAACACCCACATCCCACATCACCCACAACCCACATCACCCACACCCCACAATTTTTTTCTCGTTTTAACTAATTTCATCAGAAAGTCACAACAACAACAACCCACAACTTATAATCACACCTTTGAATAACCTCAAAACACCATTTGAG